TGTTTTCCCTTCTCCCAGAGTCATCCAGCCCACCCCAGCTCACCCTAGTGTTTCCTGCTTCACAGAGAAAAAAAAAAAACAACTGAGTCTGTCAAACATTAATTCCCTCAATGTTTAACCCCATACTTCTAAGTTATTGACATATATCCGCCTTTACCTCCTTCTTCCATTCTGAGAGAAATACATCCCTTTGTCCTGTTTAAAGCTTATCTCTCTGCCGACACTCCCGTTTAGCCTCTTACTATCTCTTCTGAAGCCTTTCTCTGTTGTGTTCTTTTTCTCTCTCTTCCCCCCCTGATATTTTCTGCTTCTCTATTGACTTCTTTCCCACAGGCTAATAATCATACTTAAGTTTCTCCTGTTAAATAATAAATTTAAAGCCTTCAGGCCTGGGTTCTTCTCCAAGTTGGTGAGGGAGGCAAAAAAACCCAGAATTTATTTATAAAAAATCGTGTATTTATTCTTACGTCTAAACTTCAGTCACCTTCAAAGTACTCTCTGATGCAATATACCTATCAAGATGTCTTTTTTTCCCACTGCTCAAGACAGTTTTCGAACTAGCCAGTTTTGATGCTTTTAATGCTTCTGCTGCTTTCTTCGTTTTTGTTTTGTTTTTTGTTTGTTTCACCTCTTCCACACTGCCAAAACGTTTCCCTTTGAGGGTTCTTTTTCATCTGGGGAAACAAAAAAAATTTGTTCAGGATGAGATCAGTGAATAGGGAGGGCGAAGCACAGGGGCCATGCCATTTTGGTCAAAAATTGCTAAACTCTCAGCATGGTGTGGGCAGGTGTGCTCGTAAATTATCCATCATGAAATGGGCAAATGCATTGAAAGAATCTCCAAAACAAAAAAAAACCAAATCCACTGAAGCCAAATGCAGCCTCTCACAATGCTAGCTGGTACACTGATGGCAATGGGTTCCTAGAACATGTTTCTTTTTTTTTTTTTTTGAGTTGGAGTCTCACTCTGTCACCCAGACTGGAGTGCAGTGGCCGCTCCCAGTCACCGCAGCCTCGACCTGCTGGGCTCCAGCGATCCTTCCGCCTCAGCTTTCCAAGTAGCCGAAATTACAGGCGCGCACTACCATGCCCAGCTAATTTTTTTATTTATTGTAAAGATGAGGTCTCGCCAAGTTTCCTAGGCGGGTCTCGTACCTGCGGGCTCAGGTAATCCACTCACCTCGGCCTCCCAAAGTGCGGGATTACAGGCTGAGCCACCGAGCCCGGCCCCTAGAACACTTTTCTAGTGGGGAAAGCCTGTACTACAGGGGGCCTGCCCTCTAAAAAATAATTCTGGATTTTTTGGGTCCCCCCCTTGTATATCCTTCCCTTCACAGCCAAGTTTCTTGGATAAAGAAGCCTACAGTCACTGTCTTCATTTGTCAGCTCTTCAATCTATGCACCCTGACTCCTTATCCACTACAACACACTAAAACATTTCTTGCAAAATTACATTGGACAATCCAATGAACTCTAAGTCCTCACCTGGTTTTCCCCACCGCTGTGTTTAGCACTGTTCACGATTCCTTTCTTCTTGAGACTTGTTTGGCCCTTGGCCTTTACCTTCTGGTTCTCCTCCTGCCCTTCTGAAAATGTGCTTCTCAGTTGCTTTTGCCGGTTACTCCTTTTACTCATTTTATAGGTGTTGGGGACTCACCAAGAATTCTGTCTTCTGGCTCTCTTCTCATTCTATGCTATCTCCCTAGATAGAACTCACCTATTTCCGTGCCTTCAGCTACCACCTATATTCAGGGAAAGACCAGGTCTGAGTATCCAGATGGCCGGTGGACATACTCACTAGGATGTTCCACAGATATCTAAAATTCAATATGTTTTGTCTTGCTCTCAATAAATCAGTCTTTCTTCACAAACCTAAACCACTGCACCTAAAGCAGAAAAGTTTTCATGGACTCCTCCTTTTACCCCATTCTCCACATTCAGTCAAATACAAAGAGTCTGTATTTTTTATGTCTTCTATATCAGGGCTCCCCAACCCCTAGGCTACAGGCCGGTACTGGTCCATGCCATTAGGATCTAGGCCACACAGCAGGAGGAGCAGTGGGCAAGCTCTGCCTCTTGTCAGATCAGCAGCAGCCCACCCCTGGTTTTATTTACCACTTCCATCTGTGCCTCTTTTTCGTTTTTATGGTGAGCTGTATAGTTATTTCATTTTACCTATATTATAATGTAATGGCAATAGAAATAAAGTACACAATAAATGTAATGTGCTTGAATCATCCTGAAATCATGCCCCTCCCTTCCTTCCATGGAAAGATTGTCTTCCATGAAACCGGTCCCTGATGCCAAAACAGTTGGGGCGCTGTTCTATATCCAGTCCTTCCTCTCCACTTCTGCTGGTATTTCTTTCCCCTTCCTCCTCTCCCTCCCACTCCCACCTTTCTAAAGACAGGGTCTCACTCTGTTACCCAGGCTGCTGTGCAGTGGTGGAAGCGTAACTTGTTGCAACATCAAACTCTTGGATTCAAACAATCCTCCTCTTTCGGCCTCTCAAGTAACTGGGACTACAGGCATGCATCACCTTGCCCAGCTAATTTTGTTACTATTATTATTATTTTTTGAGTCAGGGTCTCACTCTGTCACCCAGGCTGGAGTGCAATGGCATAATCACGACTCACCAGTCTTGACCTCCTGGGCTCAGACAATCCTTCTGCCTCAGCTTTCTGAGTAGCTGGGACTACAGGCATGTACCGCTACGCCCAGGTAATTTTTTTATTTTTTTGTAGAGACAAGGTCTGGCTGTGTTGCCCAGGCTGGTCTCAAACTCCTGACCTCAAGTGACTTTCCCAACTCGACCTCCTGAAGTGCTAGTATTACAGGTGTGAGCCACCACACCCAGCCAGAAATGGTATTTCTTTCGCCTGTCTTTCATCATATCTTCCCAGAAGTCTTAAGTCATTTTATTCTCCAGTTTTCCCACCAGCAATACCCAATTCATTTTCATACAGCTTCAAACAAGTAAATTTGGTCATGGTAACCTGTTAAAACCCTTCAGTGATTTCCCCCATGGTCCATAAGATTTGGGGTTCTCTGTGATCTGGCTTCTGCTTACTTTTCTCCTGCCACAAAGGAGAAGTTAGGATGACTCCAAAGTTTTGACCCAAGCAATGAAAGGGGAGTATTAAGTAATATTGGGAAAGCTATGGGTGGAACAGGCTTAGGGAAGATTAGGGATTTGGACATGTTGAATTGAGAAATCTATTAAACTTCCAAGTAGAAATGTCAAGTAGGTAGTTAGATATTTAAGTCTGGAATAAAAGAGAGGTCTGAGCTGGAGATAGAGATTTGGGAGGCATTAGCAGACAGTTGTATTTAAAACCACAAAACCTTGTGAGATCATCTAGGGAAGTGCTGTCCATAGAATTTTCTACAGTGATGAAAATGTGCTCTACCTCTGCTAATCATTAAGGTGGCTACTAGCCAATGTGGCTGTTGAGCACTTGAAATGTAGAATAGACTTTTTCATTTACTTATGTTTGAATTAATTTAAATTTAAATAGCCATATGTGGCCCGCGGCCACTGTATTTGACAGGGCAGATATAGGGAATGTAGAGATTGAGAAGAAAGGAGGACCAGTGGCTGGGCTCTGGGCACGCCACTATTAAGAGATCTGGACAATGAGGTGGGACCATCAAGGGACACTGAAAAGCAGCAACTAATAAAATAGGAGGAAGAAACAAGCATGTGATGTTCTGGAAACCAAGTGTCGTAATTGACTCTACTTAATTAGTTGCAAAACAGCTTCTTCATCAGTAGACACTTGTATGCCTTTCACTTGGGACTCTGCAATTCAGAGACTATCTGAACATTTTAAAATAGCCACAATAGCTGATTCTGTTTCCTGAAGTCCTACAAGAGCAAATACTCTCTCTCAGTTAATTCCTACAAGGTGTTTTAGAAGGAGACAGGAAGACAAACAGGAGGGAAATGTGGGGTTGGGGTTTTTCATGATGTATGCATAAGCATGTATATTCCTTGATTAAAGATGTTTCTGTTTAGTTGTGTACCATAATCTCCAAAATGAATGCTTTTGCTTGTTGTAGTCTTAAATGGTGTCCAATGAGTGATTTAACAAAATTACTTGCCTACTAAGATTAAGTAATTTTATCTTCTTGTGATGGCATGAGAAAAGCCAAATTTTAACATTGTTGAAAATAATACAATCTCCTTCTTGTTGATATCTACAGAAGGAACTAATAGAAGGAACATTTGCTTTTGTTATGAAGCCATTTTGATAAAGAATGAAACACAGTAAAACATCACAGTGCTACCCAAACGAAGCTAGTGGCTGAGCTGATGTGTCAGCATGTCCAGTATCAAAACTACACCCACAGTTTTTTTGGTTTCCATGGTTTCTTTTTCTTGGTTTGTCAAAGGATTTAAAAACAAAGATTTTAAGAAGAGACGGAGTTCCTAGAAGCACCATTAATTTATGTGTCCCATTCTTTTATTACACTCAAAATACTAAATGTTTCTAGTTCCCATGTTTTGGGGACACCCAAATTATACCAGTACTTTCCAAAATGCTTTGAGGTCCTTGGACAGAGGCCATTGTCACAGCACTATGCTAAATATTTCACAAAGGGCTCATATGTGAAAGGAAATGTGTAGTACAAGCATAAATACTGCTATATTGATATCATGTCACAGAGAGGCACTCTGAAGCCTCTTGAATATAAAAGGATATTTCTACATTCGGTTCCAGCAAACAATATTGTGCTATTCTGAAATCCACAGCACAGAAATTATAAGACATCCGCTCATAAACAGAAAGCAAATCACTATTCAGCATTTCCTGCCCTGTTTCCTGCCAATTTCAGATAATTAAAACTTTTTTTAAGCCTTTTATTCTATTCTGCTTTAATTCTGCTTCCTCTTCCAAAAAGAAAGATTTAGAAATTAAAACTCTGTGTATATAGTAATAACAAGTCTGCCTGTTTTTTCTTGTCCTGTGATATTATCTCTTTTTTCATTATCGCAGACCTCAGGATATCATTGTGTTTGTAATTGGAGGAGCCACCTATGAAGAGGCTCTAACGGTTTATAACCTGAATCGTACCACTCCTGGAGTGAGGATTGTCCTGGGAGGCACCACAGTTCACAACACCAAAAGGTAACGGTGCATTCAGTCCCACAACTCTGGCCCCTTTCCCAGAGAATCAAGCTTTCATTCCCTTTATGTTGGAAAAGTTTGGCCAATGCTAACCAAACTACTGTAAATCAACATACTCTAGTGTTCGCAGTATCAGCTCATAGGATAATTTAGAGTTTGTGAGACGAAGGATCTGTAGTGCATTACATTCATAAGTCATTTTATTAGGTCAAAGACTCAGAGAGCAAGAACCATTCTGCACTGTTAACAGTTTATGTTCCCAGTATTCAGAGAAGGAGAAACTCTTGCACCTGTTATACTTCATAAGGAAGGAGGAAACCTTTTTTTTTTTTTTTTTTTTAAGGAGAAACCTAATAGTCACAGCTGGCTTTGAAAATACCAAGATATTATTAATTAAATTCTGTGAGTTTTTAATTTTGTTGATTACTTTATTCACTCAGTATGTGTTTAAAAAAAGAACACAAACATGAATAGCCTAAAGGTCCTACCTCAAGTAAGTCATTGTCTATTAGGAAACATGGAACATAAAAAAAATAAGAATATAGGTGTCTAGAGAGAGTTAAAAAAGCCAAGAGTTTTCAGATTGGCTAAGGCAAATTAGCAGATGTTTCAAGAAGATAGTATCTAAGCTGAGCCTTGAGCAGAAAATGGACATGTGGAAGGAGAGCACATTCTAGGTAGAGTTAATCACATGAACAAGTTATAAAAACTGTAGGCATCATACACAAAGAACAGCAAGTAGTCAACCAGCTGGAATGTGTGTCAAGTGAAAAGGTTGATTGAATGCCATACTTGTGGAAGATCTTGAATGCCAGGCTGAGGAATTTATACTTTCTTCTATATAAAATGGGGAATATTTAAGATTTTTTGTTTGTTTGTTTTTTTGAGTTGGAGTCTCACCCCATCACCCAGGCTGGATTGTAGTGGCACAGTCACGGCCACCCGGGCATCGACCTGCTGGGCTCAGGCAATTCTTCTGCCTCAGCCTTCCAAGTAGCCAGAACTACAGGCATGCACAACCATGCCTGGCTAATTTGATTTATTGTAGAGATGAGGTCTCGCCAAGTTGTCCAGACTGGTCTCGAACCCCTGGACTCAGGCAGTCCTCTCACCTCAAACTCCCAAAGTGCTGGGATTATAGCCTTGAGCCACCGCGCCTGACCGTATTTAAGGTTTTGAAACAGTGAAATTACAAAAGGGTGACAGTGTTTTAGTAAAGTTATTTGCAGCTAAGAGTAAAATAGAAAGAGACTTGAAAACTATGGCATGATGGTTGAATCTAACGATTAGAGACCCTGAGAGATCTATACTGAGCATGTACACATTCAGAGTCATTAAAAGTGTCTGTATACTTTTAAATTTTGTATTTTTTAACATAACTTTTCTCCTTTATTATGGAAGTGATAAATGTTTATTCTGAATTTTTTTAAATTCAGAAAGTATAAAGAGAAAAAAGTCCCTATAATATAACCACTGTTACATTTTGGTCTTTTCAGACTTTTTAATCTAAATCTGTGTAGACATTTATGTAAGCATGTGGGCAAAAAAATCTCATTGTACATCCTGTCTTAAACCTATGTTTTACAATCTGATGTAAACATCTTTTGGTGTTAAATATATAATAATTTATTCATTAAACAAATATTTATTGGAAGGTAAGATTGCTTGGGTTTGAACCCTGATTTTCCTTTTACTCTGTTTGTGAACTTAGGCAAATTACTTGACCTCTTTGTCAGTGTCCAGAGCTCACTGGCCATTTATAGATTTCTCTTGTGAATTGCCAGTTCATGTTCTTTGCCCATTTTTAAAAATTTTATATATATAACTAAGTATATTGGCCATGTGTTTGTTATATATTTCACAAATCTTTTTCCTCTATTTAATGTTTTTGTTTTACATTATTCATAGTGTCCTGTTTTATAAAATTTTTGTTGTTTTTATTGTTTTAATTTTATATAGTCAAAGCTACCAGTGATTTTTCTGCCTTTGGCGTCATGCTTGGAAACTTCTTTCCCAGTCAAGATTATGTAAATACTAACATCCATTTGTTCATTATTTTTAGAATACTTATTTCAAGTTATATATTTATAATCTATCAGAATTTTATTTTAGTATAAACCGTGCAGTAGGATTTTCTCTTGTAACTGAAGAGGTTTTTTTTCCTCCTGACACCAAATACATGGTATCTTTTCTAATACCATTACTCTAATCCTCTGGACACCAACTGAATAACCAGAAATTCAATTCAATTCCAACACTATCTACCTGGAGTTAGCATCACAAGTTAAAAGAGCTCACTCGCACAAAACTGCCCCCACTTCAGATGCCAGTCACAAATCCCAAACCACCCATACTTCTGACTGTGTGGCTTTAAATCAGGGGTTTCCACCACCCCTTCCTCAGGTTTAATAATTTACTAGAACAGGTCACACAACTCAGGAAGACACTTTACTTATATTTGCTAGTTTATTAGAAAAGCTATAACTCAGGAACAGCCAAATGAAAGAGATGCATAGAGTAAGGTATAGGGGTGGGGCATGGATTTTTCGTGTGTACTTCTGGCATACCACCCTTCCAGCACCTTGATGTAGTTACCAGCTCAGAAGTTCTTCAAACCCTATTGGTTAGAGGTTTTCATGGAAATTTCCTTATGCGAGCATGATTGATTAAGCTGTTGGCCATTGGTCATTAGCTGAGTCTCCAGGCATTCTCTCCTCCCTGGAAAGTTTGAAGCTTCTTACGAAGACTTGGTCTTTCTAGCAACTGAAGTTTTCCCCAACCTGAAGCTGCCTAGAGGCCCAGTAAGAATCACTTCATTGGAACAAAAGACACTCTCTCCCTCATTGCTCAGGAAATTCCAAGGGAATGGGGAGCTCTGTGCCAAAAATTGGGGACAAAGACAAAATATCATTTTATGATACCACATACATTTACATATATACAGGTATTTCATTATATACAGAAAAGTATATAAAGGTTAAGTCTACAGTTCAATAAATATTGCAATGTGAATACATCTATGTAACCACCACCCAAATCAAGAAATAGAACATTCCTAGTACCCCTAGAAGCCTCTCTTATACTTTATACAACCTCACAGCTCCACACAAACTATTAGTATTTCTGTCACCACAGATTAATTTTACCTATTTGTAAAATATATTTGTTGAATGAATGGAGAAATAGAGGCTAAATTAATCTATCTCTTTTCTCACAAATAAAAATACAAAGATCTTAGAATGTTTTAACTCTGATTACCTTCCTCCCAACTTGTATACTATTGTCCATGTTTCGGTTCTACCTTTTTAAGTTACCAAATTAATAATTATTTTCAGGACTCAGTGTTTATTCATATTTGCCTTTTTTTTTAACCTTCACTCTGTTTCTTTCCTGGCCCTTCCTTCAATCCAATTTTCTTCTTACTGAAAACATTCTTTAGTACTTCCTTCAGCCACTGTTCATCTTAGTGTCTGTGTCTGAAAATGTCTTAGTTCAGCTAAGTTAGGAATTACAGGTTAATAATTTTCACTCATCACTTAAAATCCAGACAACAACGGAATATTATTTTCAGTCATTACTGTTGAAATATTTGCTCTCAATATAGTTGTTCTTCATTTGTAGGCAATCCTTTTTTGTGATTTTTACATTATCTTTTTATTTGGAGGATTATTTTATTTTATTATGATTTTAGAGACAGGGTTTCACTCTGTTGTCCAGGCTGGAGTGAATTGGTGCAAACACAGATTACTGCAGCCTTGAACTCTTGGCCTCAAGCGGTCCTCCCACCTCAGCCTCCCAAAGTGCTGGGATTATGGGCATGAGCCTCCATGCCTGGCTCTTTGTATCTTTACTGCTCTAGTTTCAATATTCTATATCTACATGTAGATTTATTTTTATTTATATTATTTGATATAAACATTCATGTTTGGCATAATTTCTGCAAATTTTACAGTCATTCCTTTTCGTATTGCCTCTTTTCCATTCCCTTTAGTTTCCTTCTGGAACTCCTATGAGGTATAGTTTGGGCTTTCATCTATTGTTTGTCTCTTGTCTCTCATTTATATTATCCATCTCTTTCTGTGCTGCCTTCTGTTTAATTTTTTCAGATTAGTATTCCAGCTCATTAATTCTCTCTTCAGCTATATCTAATCTGTGTTTAATTTGTCCACTTATATTTTTATGCCTACAAGTTCTATTTGCTTCTTTTTCAAACTTACCTGATGGTTTTGTTAACAGCCTCTTTTTTTCTCATGTTTTCAAATCTTTCATTTTTCTTTAATCACTTTAATTCTATAATCTGAAGTGCTTGGAAGGCTAATTCTGGTGTTGTATCTGCTAACACTAGCTCATGTGTTCTATAATTTTGACTTATGTGTTATCTTAGGCAAGGTGTTATTGGTGGGACTCATGAGGGGCCTAAGTTGAAGATATAGTCCTTGCATAGTTTTCCGGTCATTTTATTTATTTATTTTTATGTATGTATTTATTTATTTGAAAGCAGGATTTATTGAAAGGACAGAAAAGCTCCCAGAGCAGGAGAGGACCCGAGAGAGTTGCCCTTTCCAGTCATTTTAGTTATGTACCCTAAGCATGCTGTCAGTCTGGAATCATTTTTTATGTTAATTTCTATACTTATGGGTTTCTGAACCATGCAAAGCTTGAACAGCTCTTGTTCAAGCTTTCCTGTTATCTCCCTGTGCAGATTTTTTTTTTTTGGTCCACTTTCTCATTGAGGGTCTCTATCTACATTATGTGGAAGTCTCAATTGCAATTTTTGTTTTTACTGAGGCCTAAGATTTGTTACCTGATCCTCTGTGGCTACCAAAATACAGTAGCCTTGTTTCATAACACTGGTACACACCTATCAGATAGTCACAGCATTAATTTATACTTATCAACTTAATTTTTGGTTCCCTTAAGTTTGTGATGACCCTTGGCAGTTTCTCTTACTTTCTTAAAAGGTTAGCTATTTCATTTAAAAGGATGTTTGTCATTTTTTA